TATATATATATATGATATCAGAATTAGCTTTATTCGCCAAGTGTGCATAAACACACAAGGAATTTGTTGTGTTTTTTTAAGAAGCTCTTGGTACGTACATACATGCATACATATCTGACATGAGAACAGAAACATTTAAATAAGACTTGTATATGAACCATGTTTAATGATAAATCTGCACACTCCGTATTAAATTCTTCTTGTACTTTGGATAGGAAATGCTAACCTTCATCTGTTTCGTTGTCCTGTATGAGGATCGTCCAAGGCTGTTTCAAATCTCCCTCAGAAGTCACAACCTTAAGAACTGGAAACAAAGAGGTACATTCTTCATGTTAACATCTTCTCTGTCTTTTACAGACCTCCTGTGCTCTCTATTTTTGTTTTGTCTGCTGTGTTTCCCTTTATTTGACCTGAATCACCCATCACCTCATCTGTCCTTGAAATACACTAATACAGACTCCCCTGACAACAAGTTACGTTTACAGCATAATAACTCTAATAACACACGTCGTTGAGAATAACGTCTTGTGAACGTTTGAATGTTTTCTTTTCTTCTTTTCCTTAAGAGCCCTGCGAGCAAAAGCCAGTATAGACATTTCTGTGTTCTGTGTTTATTTGGTTGAGCACAATATAAAACCAAGTAAAGCCTCGATTACCGTGACCTTGTGTGACATCACCCATTATTGGGTGGTCCTCAGTGTCAACTGCGGGATCCCAGAGAGACAAGCGTATGATTTCACCGTCAGGACCCATTATTAGGGTGCCCACTGCTTTGCCTCCCTGCCATTCTGATAAACACAGAGATTCAAACAGTGAGACTTAACAAACCTAAAAGAGGAAAAAGAAGACAGTGCTCTACTTACAGTGGCTTCAAGATGTAATTAGACACGTAAGTTACATGTAAAAACATATGAATGTCATTGCATTAGAAACATTGACCTAAGTTGCATAGATGGCACAGGCACACTCATTTCACAAAAATGTGTTGTCAAACATTATTTTTATAGTCAATATTATGAAGTGTCAGTTAATGAACTGTTTTTGTATAGTTTTACAATGATATTATATTATATTTTAGTTGTATAGACAATAGTTGTATCGATATATAATGGTAAAATATAACTACACAAATATTTCTATACTATTAATGTAATTAATTAAATATTATATATTGTAACATTATATAATTATAGAAATAATTACATAAATACAAATTATTTTGCATTGTTAGATTTTAACATTACACAAAAATTGTATAGATTTAAAAGATGTATATTATGGTAAAAAGTAACTATACAACTATACCTACAATATCAATATATTTATTTATATACAAATAAAACATTATTATTATTTTTTTTTACAGTACAGTAGTTTTGCATGGAGATTTATCCAATTGTCCAATGGCTTCTAAACATTTAGTCTGTCTCAGTTGCTTCTGTCTCTTCATGTAATCCCAGATAGACTCAGTGACTTGATGGTGTGTGGGTCATGCCATCTGTTGCAGGACTCATGCAAACATCAAGGTTTAACCCATGACCTGCTTGTCTCCAGCTAACAGTTAGCATGGAGCTTTTTTTAATACTTGTTTTGGAATGTCTTCAATCCGCTTAAGTTGTGACGTAAGGAATACTGATTCTGTTTCAATTAAAAATATTTCAGTAGCTGTTTATGAGCACTATTCATTCATACAGTATCCCACATTTAAGCTAAGCTTTTAAAAATTCATAATTTAAACTACAGTCTCCAGGGTCATGGCGCCCCATGCACCAATATTTTTAAAGCTGAATCACTGTCTGACCATCTGAGATTTTATTATGGAGATAAAGGTTAGGATCATGATTTTTTTGTAGTATTACAGCACACTGTGAGTGTATATTGGCACAGTTTGTTGTTTGCTTTTAGCATCTGATTGAATGTTTGTACCCAGAAACGTTGACACTTGACATCAATCTTAAAGGGCACCTATTATGCTATCACTTTTACTTATTGTTTAAACATAAATGTTTGTTGGCAGTGTGTGCACGCAACACATTTCATGACATGAAAGAGAACTTAGTTTAGTACTCACATGCTGTGTGACAGCTGCTTTCTGTGCGCGCTCAGAAAACCGTATATAAGAAGTTTAAACTGATATGGCTTTAAAACGCATGTTTTTAATGCGATAGACATGATAATGAAAACCAAACAGATGTTTTTTAGCAGAATATCTGAGGTACAAGCTGTAAAGGCACAACCCTGTTCTGGAAATGGGGGTAGGGAGCAGCAGCTCCTTTGCATTTAAAGAGACATGCATGAAAACAGCATGTTTCTGCTTCCACTTTAGGCATTTTCAAAATTATATAATAAATGATCTGTGAGGTATTTTGAGCTGAAACTTCCCAGACACATTCTGGGGACACCTGAGACTTACAGTATATTACATCTTGTAAAAAAGATAATAGGTGCCCTTTAAAGGTGGGGTAAGTGATTTTTCAAAAACGCTGTAGAAAACTGATTCGGGCCCACCCGTGTAAATATCGGATCAGCTTTCCAGCGCTGGAGAGAACTCAAGGAGTGGAAGGCCTGTGATCGGACGCCGAGGTTGCTTTGTTTCTTCTCGATAGGTGAGTAACACCGTGTCTGCGCCGCAACAGCTAAAGTCTGTCTAGTACACTGGATGCGGCGCGGCACGACGACCATATGTAGACCATATGTATATGGTGTAGACAGCATCACTAATTATAATAGTTTTTTATCACGCCCCGCCACTCGCGTCCGGTGTAGACACGGTGTAACATTGGTTTTGCTTTGTTTCACAGAACTAATCGTTGCCCTGGTTGCGTACGCATGTGTGGGGCAGAGCTATCAAAATAGGGGCGAGACCCTTTTGGGGTAGGGGTGTGTTTGTTTTGGTGATTTCAAATGTCAACATTGGCTACCAGAAATCGCTTACCCCACCTTTAAGTGGATCTTTATGAAGCATGCTGTTACCTCTGAGCTCCAGAGGGATGCAAGCTCTAGTGTTTCCTGTTTGTGCTTCTGATTTACCTGCAGGGTCGTGTAGGTTCTGTCTGTACACAGCCATGGAGCTCTGTTTACCTGGACCCCTCCGGCCCACCAGGGGGGGGCAATGGACCAAGAGGGGGATGTTGATCTGAGGGAATTAAAGGTAAATAATTAACTTCTTCACTTCAGTTCTTCAGTAGCAATAGTTAAACAATCTCAAACTGAACAAGAATGACTTCAGAAATGCTCAAGTCGAATCTACAGCAGTGCAGCTTTCTCATAGAGGCTTGTTTTGCCTGGGTCCCTGAGCACTAATGAAAAACTGAACCTTAGCCTATGTGTTATTTACCATATCGGCCCCTGAGATCTCCCACCACCACTGTCCTCACTCCCCACTGCTCTGCCTGACTAAAGACTTCATTTAGCTGCAGCCAAGCACAAGCCGAGCCACACATGAAGAGGTGCTCGGCCCTCAGAGGGGGGCTGCGCTCTACCACCTCACTGTATGAGCCGCTGCAGCCCTGGAGCCTACAGCTTATTTAAGCCTTGTTTGAGGATAGTATGTGTGAACTAATGAGAAGAGGAAAGGCGGTCAGCAACATGAAAAATGAGATGGTTAAAAATAAGGGGAAAAAAATAATGAAAATGAGAAATTGGTAGGACTTTAAATTTGTCACAGTAAGGTTCAGGCAAATAGAGTTTAAGCGAGGATCTATTTGCAAGAGGTATTTTTATTAGGCCAATCAGAAAGCACACTATTAAATGGGAGCAAAGGAGAAACACAGAAACAATGCAAATCATCAGGAAACAAAAGGCTATAAATACACAAGGATGAGATAATGAGCAACTAAATAAGACACAGATGACAAACATAATCAGTAACCATATTGATAAACAAACTTAAAAACACGAAGGAATAAGAATAATATCAAAATAAGAGTCTCTAAACTGAAAAACACAAACAAAACATGACAAAATTTAGGTTTAATATATTAATATTAGTCAATGCATTAGGTATCACAATAATTTTACAGAATTTTTTATTAATCTAATTACTTTTGCAGCATTCATTTCAAAATACAATAATAATACACTTTTAACATTTTTTAAGTTGTATAAATGAACATTAGTAATTAGGAATGAACATGAATTATTTAACATAATAGTATGATAGTATTTTTTCATAAATTAACCTTAACCTTTAAATAAACTTAAAAATATTGTTCATTGTTGGTTCGTGATACCTAGTGCATTAACTATTGTTAATCAATTGAACCTTATTGTTAAATGTTACCCAAATAAATAATCATAAATTTTACTTAAACATTATTTGGTTGGATTGTGCGATGGCCAATGAAGGGTCAATAAATAATTAAGCAGTCACTCAAGGAAAATACATTTAACCAAATCAGCATATTAGAATGATTTCTGAAAGATCAAGTGACACTAAATTACATTTGAAAAATATATTCAAAACTCCTCAATATTGAAGTTAGTTTTTAAATGTAATGTTTAAATTGAAGTTACTCTGAAAGTACATTTAAACTGTATTGTTTTTAATTATTGTATTGTTGAATTTTATAATAAATTTCTAGCGGGATCACTTGATTGCTGACTCATTGGTAATGCTTTTACATGTACAAGTCAGAGTTTTGGCAGTGTTCTTGCATTTTTTCATCACTTCACCAGTTTTCAATACCGCAATTCCGTTGACTTTCAGGGTGAGTCATTTTGAGTTCTGCACTTGAATAAGAGCCCCAGGTGTTCTTACAATATGTATTTCAACAATATTAGATCTGTTTTGTCTTCTGAAAATGTTTGACAACTTTTTGAGTTTGCATTGAATTCTAGCACCAGTTTTGAATTTGTTGGTTAATGCTTCAGTTGTACTGCACTGGGAATAAAGGTGGATAATCAAAAAGACCATATCACAAAAAATAATCTTTTCTGTGATGGATTGTTTTTGTAAAGCTCATGCATCATGACTCGTCATATTTCCTTCAGCAAGTATGTTGTGAGTCATATGTGAATCAGCAGCTGTACTGTGTTAAACCTGAATAATACATAAATCTATCATTACCTCCTTTTTCTAGATCATCAGACCACATGACATTTCCAAGAGCCATCTCTATAATCCTGCACTTGCTGTCAGAGTGAGGGTCCTGTTTTCTTTGGTCTTGCCCCTCTGCATGCTCCAAATCACCAGGTGGCTCCGTCTCCTCAACAGGTGTCCTGTGGAGGTCATCTGAGGCACAGTAAAGAATGAATGGTTAGTAAAATGCGACATAATGAACTAACCCATTATGCTGTATTTATTGATAATAGTGTGCAGTGAGATGTTACACACCATCTGGCTGATGGGTGTCTGTTTGTGCAGGGAAAAGCAGCAGCACTTTGCTGTGCATGCGTCTCTCTGAGGGGTTTTCATGTGCAGTTCCCTCTTTGATGTCAGGGAGATGTACGTGTAGTTCCCTTTTTGGTAAATTCTCACAGCTGCTTTTTTTCTCTTTTATTTCTGTTTGATTCTTCAAGACAATTCCAAAAGAATTACGTGCAAGATATGGTGAATTTACAAGAGACAAGGTTATTTTTGTCGTTTCAGAACATTTACACTGTATCTTTCATGTTTTTAGGGTTAATAAGATTTAATGGGTATGATTAAATATTTAAATAATTAATTATTTAAAACTATTAATACCTTAATTCAGCAAAGATGCATTAAATTGATTAAAAGTAACATTTATGATTAAAATAAATGCTGCTCTTTTTAACTTTATATTCATGTTCTATAACTTATATTCTATAAGAAATGTTTCTTGAGCATCAAATCAGCATATTAAAATGATTTCTGAAGGATCATGTGACACTGAAGTCTGGAGCAATGATGCTGAAAATTCAGTTTTGCATCACAGGAATAAATTATATTAAAATAAAAAAAGAGTTCTAATAATTTTTTTAACAGTATTTCACAATATTAACATTTAATCCTTTACTGATTTACAAATGAGGAACATGACAAGTGATTATCATGCAAGAGTCAACCATTTCCACAGAATCACATTGTGGAAGAGTAGTACAGAAGCTAGAGCGGATGTTAAAATGCAGAAAAGTAGAGAACAGAGAGAACAAAAAGACATTTTTGTAGATTTATTTATATTAAAGAGTCATTTTGAGGTTTGCACATGAATAAGAGCCCCAGGTGTTCTTACAATACATATTTCAGTATTATTTTGACAATGTTTGACAAGTTTTGTCAAGACATTATCATCACAGAAGTTAACATGTAGAAAAGCGGAAAACAACAAAGTTTTTTAGGTTTGTTTATAAGAAGTACATTGGTTTAGGGTTATGTTTGAGATAAATGGTGTTATTATTCTTCCAGGTGTTCTTACAATACATATTTCAGTATTATTTTGACAATGTTTGACAAGTTTTGTCAAGACATTATCATCACAGAAGTTAACATGTAGAAAAGCGGAAAACAACATAAAGTTTTTTAGGTTTGTTTATAAGAAGTACATTGGTTTAGGGTTATGTTTGAGATAAATGTGTCTTCATACGTTTATTGGACTTTAATTACCACAAACTGAATTCTTACCATTGTTAAAGTGGGCGGTAAGTGAAAGACGGTGAAGCTGGGATCTGTTTCTGTATTCACTCTCCTCATGTGAGTTTCACCTCCACAGTGTCTCACCAAAGCAAACACAGTTTGCAGAACATCTAATTTATGACTTCATGCTTGTATCTGTATTTTATAGACTTTAAATGGTCACTAAATACTGATTCAGATCTTGTCTTACTCTGGCGGGATCCCTCCATGTGTCCACCGTAATAGTTGACCCGTGAGAGTGGGCTGTATTCCAAAGACGAATCCACATACACTGACCTCAGCGTGCACATCTCTCCAACACCACCTCCACTCTCCATCTGGCTGCGCTTTCCACAGCCGTTTAGATCCTTGGGATGGTCGATCACTTGTATCTGGTATATGTCAGAGCAAAATAATGAAAAGCTCTTTAGCTGAGTTTTGAACTTATGGTCACGTAGTTTGGAAGAACACATGGACTAAATAGTCTCCTTCTTCTTAGCATTTCTGCTCTACATTTTCATTGTAAAGGTTCAAAAGCCAAATTGTTCACATAAACAGCAGCATATTTCATCAGCGACACAGATTAACCAAGAAAATGAAATCAGATGCTGTTAAAGGTTAGATGTTTACTTATGAGCAGACCTTTCCAAGTGTCTGGTCTTATGATGCCAAAAGCACAGTGCCAATTAAATAGAGGAAATTTCAGGTCAGTGTTGGAAAAGAGCCAGATGAACATACTGTAGAGGTGATTTTTTTTGTTTCACCTCTGTTTGATCTTCAGTCCGATGTGCAGGTTCTGTCTCAGGGATCGGACTCATGTGAGCTCTGTACGTGTCAACTGCTATCCTGAGACTCTTGGTCTACAGGTCTTTTTCTCTCTTTCAGCTTCTCCTTCAGTTGCTCTTTCTGTTGTTTGGTCTTAAAGACCATTTGTTCATCTGGAATCAAGATCATTATAGACATTAAGTTAAAGAACAAGCATTATTCTGTGTCCAGTTATATTTCAGAGCGAGCAGAAGCTGAAGAAGCTGCTTGCGGTTGTAATGGTTTACATTTTAGGAATCAGTTTTTACTTCCTCTTGGCAATGCAGGGAAGGATTTTCCTAACTTAATGCTTTCAGTCCCGACATGAATAGAGTGCATTCAGAGGCAGGTATCTGATATGCGTTTCTTAAAGATGTAAACATTCACCCTCTGAATGGATTTGAACTAAACACTGGCACAAACACAGTAACATATTTTGAGTTTGTTCATTGCGTTCGCTGACATTGCTGTGCTGCACAGGATGTTGTTGATCTAATCAAGAACTGCTTTTGAATAGTAAGCGTTTATCTGATCGTTAGTGTCATTTGTGTTTCATGAACTCTACCTGGTGCCGCTTGAGTTTTCTCCTGGATTTGTACATGTACCGAACCATCCGTTATGGGTGGTAGAGGACCCAGGTCTACCCGGTTGGGCCGAGGGGAACAGAGGAAACATAGCTGATATATGATCTGATTAGTTTTTTCTCCTGAAAAACTATGGGATATATCATTTTATGCTAGATATATAATGTACATTATTGTTTAATGGTTTGGGGTCTGTAAGGTTTTTGAAAGAAAAGCTGTTCACCAGGCTGCATTTCTTTGATCAAAAATACAGTAAAAACAGTAATGTTGTGAAATATTATTGCAAATAATGTTGTTCCAATTAACTTATTTTCTTCCATTTATTATATTGAACTGAGCAGCCAGGGCCTTCTTTATTTATTTTTTTGATGTTCTACAGAACAAGAAAGTCATACAGGTTAGAAACAACTTGAGGGTGAGTAAATTATGAAAGTTTTTTTTTAATGTTTTTTTATTTCCCTTAATGACTTTAAATTTAACATGAAAGATCATGTTAAAGCATTTTGCCCTTTATTCTAGATACCTTTAAAATATATAAAACATTGACTGGATTGTTTAGAGAGTCTCACCTTTAACCTGGCTTGAATTATAGTTCTTCTCTCCAGGTTTGTGATGAGTGTTGATGTTCTGTATAGCATGTTTAGTATCTGGCAATAAGGGGTGCGTTACACCGGCAAGAGATCCAACCGTTGACTAAAGGAAACCAAGAATCATATATATATAAAGAGCACATGTGTTTGATTTTTCAGTCCTCTCCAAACATGTTCCACTATCTCCAACTATCTCTTTTGAAACCACTCAAATGCAATGTTCACTTACTTTCAAGGTCATTTGTCTGTATTAGCATGATGGATTTCTCTGCACGTGGCCTTCTCTTTGTAGTAAACGTCAGTGGAAAACGAAAACGTGAATGCCGAGCTGGAAGTCACACTGGAATTCTTTTGGATGCAATACCTTGCAATAGATTCAAAAGAATATAAGAGAACTGAGATGTTTTGATCTCCTGGGTTGAGCATTTAACAATAATAAAGAGAAACCAGGTGCTAGACATCAATGCTTTGAAATCAGTTTGTAAAAGAAAGAAAAACTACAATACATATCCTTAAAAATACAGCACAGTATAGGCTACTTTGTTAATGTGAAGGAATTTTCCAAGTTTTTTAGCCGTATTTTAAATTATGCACTTCATTGTGTTGTGTTTTAGGGTTGAAAGAAACTTTTCTGCCAGGACATTATCCTATAATCTTTTTTATAGAGATTTTTTCTTACAGTGTAGCTATTATTTATTCCCATAAAACGTTTAACTTACAAACAGCATTTGTCTTTATTTGATCAGTATTTGTTTCTAAATTATAAAATGTTTAAATGATTAAATATTATAATTTAAAATTTAATATTGTTTTTGTGTGTTATGGAAAAATTGTGTATTAAAAAAAATTTCTGTTTGACTTTTCAATTTAGTTTTTATTTTAGGTTTTGAATGGCATTTTAAGGCTGCCAAAGTGGTGCTTTTTAATAATGTTGAAAGCAGGTGGGTTATAAAGGTTTTAAGCAAAACTAAAATCATTTTTTGTTCATTTTGATTTTAGTTTAGTTAGTTTTGGAATTATTTTAGTTTGGGTTTTTCAAAGTTACGTTTTATTATTATATAACAAAAACAAATATCACAATTTAGTTTTTCTATCAATAATACTGATATTATGTCTAAGCATTATTTGTCTGAATTCAGCTGGCCTTGTTGAGGATGACTATGGCAGCCATTTTTGAGTCCCCGGAGCACACCTGTGTTGTTTACACTCTGCCGTAGTTGAACGTGACAGATCGAGACTTCACACAGACCACCCACAACCAAAGACCCTTCTCTCTGGAACCCCTCCAAGTCCCTGTCCAAACCCTCATGTCTATGAGGTAAACACACTGATTACTGCATTCAGCTCTCATCACCTGGATCATTCCCCGTAAAAGGGTGCCATTTCGGTCACATACTGCAGTAATTTTTCGGTGTCATTGAAGTTGCTCTTTTCTTGCTGATCACAGAGTATTCGGGCAGTTTCTCTTCTGATGGTTCATGCGGGTTTATGTTTGGATGATAGAAGCTGGACATTGTGAAAACGAAGCCACCGTAGAGTTTACTTTTCTCGTTCAAGATGCACACCTGATTCGATGATCTTTTTGATCTCTTTCCGCATCGACTGTTGATTTTCAGTCAGGGGATTTTCGGGGGTGCGGAGAGAGGATGGATTAATGTGCATATAATGAGGGAACAGTCAAGGGCTGTGGAGCATTAGCAGATTGTGGTGGACGGGAATTGGATAGATTATGGACTGTGTGCTTATGTAAAATCCCTCAGGACACCTTTATTAAGATTTGTAGCTCACATCTCACGGAGGTCAAACGGCACATTATGGGTAAATCACCAGTTTGATTGACCTGGAATGTGTGGAAATTGAAGACATCTTGAGGACTGACCGCATATGTGTGTGTGTGTGTGTATGCTGCGTACTGACGGCAGCGTTATCTGCCAGGCCCAGGTGCAGCTGAAGTGCTCAGTGAAAGGTTACGGAGTGAAATGTAAAATGAACATACCACATTTCACCTACTTGCCTTTAGGATGGGGTTACCACTCCGGCCAGTTGAGCAGAGGTACGGCAATCAGAGCCGGTAAACTAATACCGCCGCCAAGTCTGTCACCCTGACCTGAACCTGAGTTTCAACTTTTCTGGGCAGTAAAATTCTGGAAGATTTACTGTGGACTGGCCTGTCCCTCAAGTTTACGTCCCACCTCTCCTGCTCTGTGGCAATCAGGAGGAAACTTCAGGCAGATCTGCACAATGGTTCATTTGTAGTAGATCTGGGCCTCTTAACTGAAGAAATTTGACAGATAAGGAATCGTTTCATGCAGTACTCGGTCATGTACATGTACGTTAACTGATACATTAATCAGATGACTGTTCTGTTCAGCGGTCTTTTCAGTATACAGCGTTTTTTAAACTTGACTATTAAGTCAAGTAATTAAATTATGAGTGATGTTTCGAGAATTTCATGACCTCTGCATAAACAACGACAGTAACAACATTATTTTGTGGAACACTCACTAAATACTTGTTTTAAAACAACAACAACTGTACTTTCAGATCAAATGAAAGGCCACTTAATTATATATAAGAAACTTTTCATCATTTGTAGTTTTTAGCACACTAAAGCACACTTTAAAAAAGTGAAAATGGCCTATTTTACTAAGAGCATTTTAATTTAAAGAACATTTTAATTTATGACTTTTTATAAATACACTTAATCTGCGTTGATTAAAATGTGTAAATGTAAAGTACTTGATTATAATTTTAACTCTAGCGTGTTATGCAATGTTACATTTAAATTATTTTAAATGTACTGAATTGCAGCTTAACTACAAATGTGTAATTACAAATATATTTAAATTCAGGACACAGGTTTGCTTATTTAACCATATTTCAAAGACAATAGGTAGCTTTATTTTAAGATGTCCTTGTTACATATGTTACATGGAATTACTATTATAATAACAATTAATTATGCATAGTTACATGCAAGTAACCATAAACCAAACCCTAATCCTAACCCTAAACATATAGTAAGTACATAAAGTGTAACCGAAATGTATAATTATAACATAAAGATGTACTTGAATCCTATTTAAGTTGGTCGATAAAAGCACTTTAGAGTTCAGCTAATTGCATTTAATATAAATTTCAAACTATAATACATTTTCATTTAATTGCAGCTAACATGAAAACATTCAATTCAGTTTACACATAGGCCTAAGTATGTTGTTTTTAAGTGTATTCTGCCCGTAATAAATATTAAAAATATGCTAAATGTACTTCCCTTTGCAAGGGTAATAGTGTAGAATTAGTATAGAACCTTTATTTATTCTTCTACTTCTCAGATTTACCTTCTTTTTTCCAAAAGCCAAAAATAGCTCCAGTCAGGCCTTGCAGTGTGTGCAGCTGCTTCTCAACTTCCTGTTTTGGGCCGGTTGGAGGCTTTCTCTTCCTGTTAACCTGGCCAGTCTGGTATGCCAGTGCGAGATCCTCTGAATACAGAATAAGAGGCCCTCTCCTCGTACTGTAGGTCTTAGGAGGAACTGGCTCCTGGCCTCCAAAAAAACGGTTGCTGCTGGTAAGACGCAGCAGTGGAGGCTGGGATTTCCAGTTGAAGTAGTCCTAGTTAAGAAGAGATCATTTTTCCATTGACTGTGTGCAATTCAGTCAGCAATTTTTTTTCTGCTTTTGTTCTCGTACTTCAGTTTGTGGCCGAGCTCCCCTCTCCTCAGCGACCATTTCTCTTTAATTCAGAATGCATTCGTGTGTTCATTCAGCATCCCCGCCCGCTGCTTTTACATACTACTGAATCATTTCGGCCCATGTTACGAATGTCTGTGTTTACTGAGCTTTGCAGTTGCCAGGCTCTCCACAGCTCAGAACTGATTTCTTGTTGCCTTGGTTGCAACCAAGCAGTTACCCCCTCCTGGTCAGGCCAGCAACTTAGCTAAACCCGTCCTAATATACAAACAAAAGGAAGATGACAGCTCACAGCTTTTGTGAATAACCAGAACTGGGTCTCCTGCAGGACACGTCCTGTCATATGCCCAGGATAGCACATCCCTAATTAGTGTTATTGATTGTGCCACAAGAAATAGACTTTTCCTTCCTTCACATAAAACCCCCTCCATCAATCAAATAGGCAGGAGAAATTGTTCAAGCTTACAACTAAAGACCTGCAGGATGTCCTTAAATAATGTGAGAGGATACCGTGACAGTTTAGCCACAAGAAAAAAAAATACAAAGAAAGATACATGGAGTGATGTTTGACAGCAGGTGTTATTATGTCTGGCTAATGAATATGTTTTAGTAAAACAGTACATTTGTAGGTTTCTTTTGACCAGCTCCTGTGCTTTACTATACTCCAGTCTCCAAGAGGTTGGAAGTTTAAACTGAGCTTCACAGTTTACTGTAGAGGGAAGACTTATTCAGCCTGAACCACAACACTAGCCTCTTCAACCACATCTCCATGTGCATTGTGTTACCTGGTGAATCAGTTTATTGCTCTGTGAGATCATACTTTTTGACGTTGAACAGAACCCTAGTCTGGCCACCTGCAGGGCTTAATAGGCTGATGAGGACAAAATGTTAGGATACTTAACGGTAACCTGCCTACACCCCCTGAGCTTAGCTCTTGCTTTTTCTCAACCTAGCCTGTGTAGAGTATTGTAATGATGATTTAAAAAAAAAACGCCATCCAATGTGATCCTTAAAGGGTTAGTTCACCCAAAAATGAAAATTCTGTCATTAATTACTCAGCATCATGTCGTTCCAAACTCGTAAGACCTTCGTTCATCTTCAAAGAAAGCGCGTGCATGTACGTAATCTGCGTAATCAGCGTTGTTTACACTTAGGGGAAAGCATGCGTATGCATTGGGATACTCTCTAAAACGGCGGAAGACGTAACTCGGGGGAGAAGAATTGTTGAAAAAATTGTTATTGTTGTTTTCTTTGTGCTCAAAAAGTATTCTCGTAGCTTTGCAAAACTGAAGTTGAGCCACTGATATCACATGGACTGTTTTACCGAGGTCCTTACTACATTTCTGGACCTGGGAACATTACAGCTGCGTTGCTGTCTATGCAGAGTCTGAGAGCTCTCACATTTCATCAAAAATATCTTAATTTGTGTTCCGAAGATGAACGAAGGTCTTACAAGTTTGGACGAACGACATGAGGGTGAGTAATTAATGACAGAATTTTCATTTTTGGGTGAACTATCCCTTTAAGTCATTTTTTGCCCAAATTGAAATAATTAAAAATTCATGATTATATTAAATGAAAATGGTTTATTTTCTGCTCTCAAAATGTATTATGATAGTGAGTATTATTAGTATTAATGCAATAACAATTTCTGTAAAAATGAAAATAACTTAAGGATACTACCTCAGTAATGAGTATCCCGTTTACACTTTATTTCAGTCACTTTTGGCATAATGCAATATGCCATGCATTTTATATCATCGTCTGTACTGATCTGCTGTTGTTCTTTATTATACATCTTATTCACAGTTTGTTCTGTAGACATTCAAGTTTGCGACATAATTATTGTTACAGAATATGATTCATGAAATAAAATATGCATTCTGTTCACAATATAATATAATAATGTAATGCAATATAATATTTTGTTGATTGCTTTGCAGCATGCACATTTATAATGTACTTTTAAGGTTGTTACAAAGCAATGCTTTTAAATATATGAAAGCTCTCCAGTTGTACAGGAGATAAATTATGTAGCCTACAACATGTGATTATGAACTAAACATCTGCTTAAAAATAAAATTAAACGTATCTTTCAATCTTGAAACTTGGTTTTACAGTTCATTCAAGTCAACTCCGCTTGTAATCTAGTGTTCTCAACATAACAGTCACCTGTAGGTGGCGCCAAAGCCCCGGCCTTACGCTTCATCTCAGCATACCTGCAGGAGTTTCCCTAATAAACACTATAAATACAATAAATATCACCACAGCACACACCTGAACGCACAATTGTATTTGGTCTCATTTTCTGAGGCTGACTTTGTCTTGTTTATAATAACATTACAAATAATTTTGACTATTTCAGTTAAGTCATTGAGCACGTTCTGATATGGTTTTCTTAAAAAAAACGAAATGTTTAACAGATCAGCGTGTGGTGTAGGCCTACACATCTTTATGTCTTTGTTTTCAAGATATTAAAAAATAATCGGTTGCAAACAAGAACTGTGTAATGCCATCTGTAAAGTAAAATGAGTCGGTTAAAAATCTAATCATTTTATTCAGCGAAACTGTACAGATACAAAGGTCTCTTACCAAATTTAAAAAATCAAGTAAAAACCAGCAAGATTATTTTCATAAATACATATATTCTTTCAGAAAAGGTGATTATTTACACGTTACATCGTTTAAAGGGAACTTGCATAAATTCACAGCTGTACACATGCATATAAGTATCCCAATCCTAATGCGTACTTGACGGTCCATGTGTGCCAATGTATGCGTGATTGTCGACGGAGGGCTGCGAAAGTCATACAAGTCCCCAGTTAAAACAAGGGATGGTACGTGTGTATAAGGCAAATTACGTCCAATATCGTCAGGTACAGAACCGTGAGCGTTGCGCAAATCATTCAGTACTGTCTACAGAGATCACATCTGCAAATGATATCGTGTTGCACAGAAACATAGTCTTTTTCACATACAAATATATGAGAAAACCCGATGGTTAAACAGACTCAGGCTGATAACACTGTCCATGATGGTCCGTCTCCACTGTGGAAACGTCTAGTAGTGTCCACAAAACTCACTCAACAAGTCGCGTAACAGTTCTCCGCTCGAGACATTTAGCGCAGAGAAAAGTTGCATGATCAAAGCTTGACCGAAACTATCAGCTCGACTCGCTCTTTATTCATACCGTCGTCTCGCCTTGGTTGCTATTGCTGAGCCTTTTATAAAACCTGCGCCAAGACTGCAGCGTTTTCCCAGACCATATCCAAAATCCAGAGGTGATTCCCACGATCATGGTCATCAGATACTTTATCATGAATACGGTGAAGTCTGGAGACATGGGGGCGAAGTTGTTGACTGGGCAAGGGACGGCGAACCGCTTACACGTTTGCATGTGCCAGGTCTTCTCCCACTGCTCGCGGAAAGCCTGCTCGTAGAAGTAGCACGCGATCACGATGGTAGCGGGAACCGTGTAGAGCACGCTGAACACGCCGATGCGCACCATCAGCTTCTCCAGCTTCTCCGTCTTGGTGCCGTCGTGCTTCATGATGGTTCTGATGCGGAAAAGCGACACGAAGCCGGCCAGGAGGAACGAGGTGCCGATGAAGAGGTAGACGAAGAGGGGCGCCAAGACGAAGCCACGCAGAGAGTCCACGTTGTAGATGCCAACGTAGCACACCCCGGTGAGAATGTCACCATCCACTTGGCCCATGGCGAGGATGGTGATGGTCTTAACCGCTGGGACAGCCCAAGCGGCCAGGTGGAAATACTGAGAGTTGGCCTCAATGGCTTCATGACCCCACTTCATTCCCGCAGAGAGGAACCACGTGAGGGACAGAATGACCCACCAGATTGAACTTGCCATGCCGAAGAAATAGAGGATCATGAAGAGGATGGTGCAGCCCTCTTTTTTCGTGCCCTGCGCGACGGTCTTATAACCATCATCGTTGAACTTGTCAATGCAAACGACTTTGTCTTCAAGGAAAAAGCCAGCTGCGTACGCAACAGCCACCATGAAGTAACACCCAGAGAGGAAGATGATGGGCCTCTCCGGGTAACGAAACCGCCTCATGTCCACTAAGTACGTGAGAACGGTGAACAGTGTACTAACGCAGCACAAAATAGACCAAATTCCAACCCAGAGCCGGCCAAATTTGACCTCTTCCTCTCTAAAATACATCAGCCCGCTGGGTCTAGTGGGCTCACACGGCGCCCCGCAGTCTTTTTCGCCCATGAAGTGGTACTTGAGATAAGTGGGCACTTTGAGCTGCAGCGGACATGTGAACTGCTGGCTGGGTCTGACCACGTTCGGCTGTAATGTGATCAGTTCTGGGACGTAGGGCGTCGGGTTTGAGGTCGGGCTTCCCGCGTCCGAGGTGTTCTGACCCACGCAGATCTCCCCCGCGCCGTGCACCGGGAAGTTCTCGCAGCGCAGGCGCTCGGGCCACTGGAAGCCGAACTTGTTCATGAGGGCCTCGCAGCCTTGTCTCGCGCGCTCGCACAGGGTGCGACACGGCGGGATGGCTTGCTCCAGCACCGTGCAAACCGGCGCGTACATGGAGCAGAGGAAGAACTTGAGGTCCATGGAGCACTGCACTTTCACTAGGGGGTAGAACTGGTGCACCTCCAGCCCGGCGTCCTCCTGATTGGTGTGACCCAAAAGGTTGGGCATGATGGTCTGATTGTAGGCGATGTCCGTGCAGAGAGGTATCGATATGGGCTGGCAGAAACCGTGCTCGGGAATGGAGATGCCCTTTTCTCCGTGATACTGGCCGCTGGACGACTGCAGGGCCAGGGCGAGGAACAGAAGAAAGTATCGAGTAATCCCGCAACAGTGTTGCATTTTGAGGAGAGCTGTTATTTGGGTGATTCGGTGCGAAAGAAACGAGGCTGAGGCTGCTCCGAGAAAAAGTTTGTGTGACCAGTTCGTTTGCGTTTAAACGATCAAAAACTCCTCGCTTGAGCTCCTGTCACGACACTCGTGGTCTAAAAGCAAGCATGTTAGGCAAATGAGTGGATCTGGGAAGAAAACCCTG